TCCATCTGGAAAGTCCAGCCAACAAGTCTGGACAAGCAGGGGATAAGGCTGACCACAGTCCTTCCTAGACCACAGCCCTGAGCTCAGTGAGGTTCCTGGAGCCCTGGACAGGGAGTATGGGTGGAAGTCCCAGGTAGTTAAATCCTACTGGTGCTCTCTGACTCCGGCTGTGGGGATTAAAGACATTTACATACATTTCTGAAAGACACACAGATACAGATTAAAGAGGTGAAGACATCACGCCTGCAACTATCCACTCTGCTTCTATGGCAGGATCACCACCCATCCCTGCAGCAGTCCTAGGACTACCCCACTCCTCAGCCTGGCACAGCTGTATAAACTTGGATCAACACGCCTTCAGCCACAATACCGATGCACAAGAAAACTGCCTCAGGCAGAATATCCACCAAAGAGGCAGAATAGACATCTAATAGAAAAGATGTGACACCTTCAGCTATCCAGTCTTAATCCTCTGTATCTGGCAGAGCTGGAAGGGAACAGCTACAACACACTTCAGCAGTTACTGGTGCCCTCACTTGTTTGCTGCCACACTCTTCAAGAGTCTTCTACCCACACTGAGCAGCAGACTGCAGAGCAGATGAGGTGTGTGCACTTGCTTCAGCCACTTCAGCAAAGCCTGACACCTTAGAGCAAGACACTTGTCACAGCTGCAGAGTCAGCCCAGGTGCTAACTGCAAGCTAGACAGCACCAGGGATGTTAACTGAGTACAACAGTAAAGGTCCTCTGGGCTTCCACTTACTGTGTCTAAGCCCTAGGAATGTTTTTAAAACAAAGCACGTACATTACATTCAATTGACACGAATTAGTTTTTCTTAGTGTTGATTCAGCCCAGAATCCTTACTGCAAGAACACAAAATAGGCCAGTGGCTTTGGCTGCTGTCAGTGCCTTCCAACCAGCTCCATGGCCTACTGCTTTTTAGAGTTCTCAGTCTATTTTTAATAGCACAGTTAAGAAATAAAAGCTATTTAAAACAAGCAGTATAAAAAAAGAAGTATCATTTGCTTCCCATGATTATTATGTGCATAGTAATGACAGGAAGACTATTGCAAATGTTTTCCAACTCTTAAAAAAGAAGGCTTCCTTTGCAATATATAATTTTGAATTTTAATTTAGATAACTCAGAGTATTTACTGGCAATAAAAAAATGCATATTCATGAGATCCGATTTACTATAATCTTTATTTCTGATGTTCTACATCTGTGAATACTTGAAGTACTTGAGTTTGCATTCATGGGCAATTATACAGGAATCTCATAGTAGCAACAGATTGATTTATAGTTAAGAGTTTGCAGCACAGAAAGCCAATTCATTTTCTTGTCAAGCTGGGACATGAGATTTGGGATTGACACTTCCACTTTCATTTTTGAACAAATTACTTTTTCTTGTCTAAAACACATACAAACCAAGGTCATTATAATGAGGGCCAAAACAGTGATTTTTATATGCATGCACTCTACCACTAGTTCGCAAAGGTCTGAGGAAGGAAGTGAAATAGATGCAAAGTGGAAACCTGAAGGTTAGATTTAACGCAAGTGCTTTACGGGAGAAAGATAAACACACTATTTGGTCATTCCACCTTCACACACCAAGAGCTCCCTCAGGCTCCCTCATGCTGGTTTCCACGATGTCTTTCAGAAATTCAAGCACTTACTATGCAAAACACATTTTTCTTAGAAATCTCTGCATCTCTATCCACTCTTCTTTCTGGTCTTACCTTTCTCATCATTCATCTCAGCCTTCTGAAGTACAAAGATTCTTCTAATAAAACAAGCTTTAATTGATTTCCAAAGGTAAGTCATAGGGAGAATGAAACAAACCCATAATAGATCAGTGAGAAGTACAACAGGAAAAAGTAGGATGAATACAGCTTTTGATACATGCACCAAGTAAGATGATAAAGCTCACTGATGCATAAAACAGTCCCTCTGTTTTATACTCACACTCCTTCAAATAAAGGAAAACGGCTGCGGAGGCTTCCCAGGAAAGCTGCACCCTGACCTTCCTCTCCTTGTATGCCAATAGGCCGATGAATATTGATAAGGCCAGCCATTAACACAGAAAAGGGAAGGATGTGCTAAGTGCTGTTAAAATCGAGTGTGGATGACCATATTTAGAGCAACTCAAGTTCGCTATTACTTTGTCGAGTTCACACATAATATTGTTACTAGTATTTAGCCAATGTCCCCAAACAGTAAGAAAACCCCACACATGATCAGGTTTGGCCAAACAAAATCTCTCTTATAATTAATCTTTATTTTCAACACAGACTGCTTTCAGGTGAAAGTAATTTCACAGCATTACTCCAACACGTATAATAAAAACACTTCTCATAACTATACTGCAAAGACCGACCTCTGAAAGCAAATCTTCCATGCTGTTCATTTCAGGTAACATGCTATACGGGAGGGTAAAATACTGCCTGGAACAGGTGTCGGTCCTCTGCAATTAGCCACCATTTCAGGTGCAACTCATCCATCTCTGTTTTTTTAAGGCAAGGCATAAAGCACTTTAGAAATAAGGCTCACAGCAAATGCAAAACAAATATGTTCATAAGCAGAAAAGGTAGAAACAGAGTCACACAGGACAAAGGATGACTTCTTCCACTTAGGCATTCAGATGTAGATTATCAGTATATCTGGCCAAAAGTGGTGCCAGGAGTGGTGCCTAAGTACTAGAGATAACGTTCACCCTTTCAGGAATATTTTTGAATGACAGACAAGTTGAAACGCTTTACACACAAAAAAAAAAAAACAAAACAAAACACCACATTCTTCTCAGGATAATTATCACCTAGGCTGTACTGAAATCCTGGACTTTCAAAAGCCATAAAGCCCACCTGCAACTGAACTCTTTCAAGTCCTATGAAGATGCTGAAGGAGTGGGGTTGATTGAATAAGGTGGATTGAAGAGTGGAGTTGATTGAAGAATAGGGTTGTGAATAAGTAACCTCAAGAACCTTGGGCTTTGTTAGCAACTATAGAGAAAACGAAAATTACTAAGATAAGCTTTCCCAGAACCACCTGGTGGTTACTGATACAACAATGATCCTAAAACAAAGTGATGAAGAAATAACCACCGGGGGTCCGAAAGCCCACTACCACATTTTTGTATGCATACAGGAGGCATTGTCTAAGAAGTATGATGTAATGTATGTAATCTAATGAATATGTATGTTGAAGGACAATATAATCACAGCCTGGTTGATGCCTGGCAGACACACGCTTGGAGGAGCTATCCCCGTGTCTCCCGGCACCGCAATAAAGAATACCTGCTTGTCAACTTAAAACTTTGTTGGCGAGTTCCTGGAGTTTTCTCCGAATCAATGCAGAGCGCTTCCTCGCATCTGCAATATGGATACATCTTCAGTATCTATATATTTAGTGGTAAGCAAAGTTCAGGGCGTATCACCTCATCTATTAGTCACATATCAACATACATTCTCTTTGAAGAGTTCAAGATCAAATATAGCCAAGAGGTTTGCCTTCCGAAAATCCTTGCATTACAGAAAACATCAGTTCACGCCTTTGGAGAATTTTAAGCATTTCAACCAATTCACAGCAATCATCACAAAACAGCTTGAAAGTTTCAGACTGAAGTAGAAATCACGCCCCCCTTGTTTTTAAGAAAGCAAGTACTTAAGCACCCTTAAGCCGTTTGAAGAGGCAGCATCCATTGCAGGTCTGCAAAACGCCTCCTTCAGCCGTTTCTCAGCCTTTTAAGAAACTGAGATTAACTTTTGATAAAATAACAGATAACGGAACATTTATTAAACAAATAAAAAGTCCCGGGCCTCGAGAACACCCTAAACAGAAGCTCTCGATAGTGAGCAACTCCCTTCCCTCGCCTGACGCCGGTTCAGAAGCGGCACATTTTCTACGCCTGGAACAGCTTCAAACTCTGCTTTGTGTATTTATAACCACCACCATGTGCCTTCCAACTCCGGTAACACATTTACTTACCATAAACAAAAAGAGAAGCTTACACACAGCCTGACCTGAGACTTGCAACCAACCGGAGTTAACTCTGGCCGGCCACGCGTTCACCTTCACATAACCGCGTCACCTTTCCCAGCACAAAGAACGTTTGTTGTTTCCCTCCTCCGAGCGCGCACACAAAGGAGGTGGAGGCAGGTGCGGGGGTACACAGCGCCTGGGCGCCAGCAGGGCCCACCGGATCTTTTAAGGCGGAGATGGGAGGGTCCTGCTGCTCGTCCTGACCCACCACGAGCACACACACAGAAAACCGCACTGCAGTCACTCGTGTTGGGGCACAGCGAGCGGCTTCCCACGGAGCGGCCCTAAAGCCGCCCGCACGAGGACCCGGTACCTCGTGCTCCGCACAGCGGCGCCAAGGCGAAGGGCGGAGCCGAGACCTGCTAGGCCGAGGCGCTGCCAACAGAGGTCGCCACTGTGCCTGCACGGCCTATCGCATAGCGATGGCGGCCCGCCCCTCCCACCACCCGCGCCCTGTGATTGGCCTGCCTGGAAGTCTATCAACTCCTAAGCCACGCCCACCGGCGGAGCGGAGCGGGACGGGCCGGGCCGGCGGTCAGTCTGTGCGGGGCAGGTGCGGAACGGGGCGCTCCCGATGGTCGCTGGTGCTCGGGGGACCGGGCAGTGCCTTAGCGTGACCCGTCGGCGCTGTCGCCGCTGGTCACGGCGGCTCGGGGCCCTCCCCATACAGAAGACAGCGGGGCGACAGACACAAGGTGAGATCGCTGGGCTGGGCCCCACCGGCGGTGGGTTTGGGCTCCTCCGCGCCGTTCCCAGCCCGTCAGTAGGGTGGTGGTGGCTGTGGCTGTGGCTGTGTCCCCTCCGTCCCGCTGACAGAGCTGGCACGTCGCTCGTCCGCCGGCTAACCCCCTGGGGCGGCGAAGGGCAGGCCCGGGCTTGTCCCGGGGAGGCGGCGCCTGCGCGGTGCGGGACCCGGGCTTGTCCCCGGGGTGCGGAGGGGGCGGGCAGGGCCCTGCGGGACCCGGAGAGCGCTGCCCGGGGCCCGGCGGTGGAGCCCGGTGGCCTGGAGCCGCTCAGCTGCGGTGTCACCTCGTCTCTGGGGTGCGCGGGGTGACCGGGGTTTGTGACGAGGAACATCGCTCCCTTGGGTAAGAGGGCTCGGTTTGTCTAGGGGCAGCTTCCCTGCTAAGTAGTTCACGTACCTAAAGAGAAAGGAAAGTTTCTCTCTTGCTTTAGAGACAGCTGTAACTTAGTAAGTCTCCTCCCTTTAAGCGGTTTGATATGCTTACATTTGGGTTTTGTTACAGATGATTGAAACGCTTGTAACTACTGAAGCTCAGGAGCTGCTGGACCAGCTCACAGCCCTCTTGGAACAGGAGTTAAGATGTCAGCCAAAGGCCTCTGGCCTAAGGCTGATCGAATCTGCTCATGATAATGGCCTCCGGATGACTGCAAGGCTTCGAGACTTTGAAGTGAAAGACCTTCTCAGCTTAACTCAGTTCTTTGGCTTCCATACAGAGACTTTTTCACTAGCTGTGAATTTCTTAGACAGATTCTTGTCAAAAATGAAGGTAAGGCTTTCTACAGTATGAGCTCTCAGTCACTGGCTTATGCTCCTTGCAGCCTTGTTCCTTTTATAAGTTAAAACATCTTGGCTTTAGAAGGCTGAAGGTTAAGCGCCTTCCAGAGGTTCTGATTGCACAAGAGATAAGAAATGTCTTTCCCTGTTCAGATTTTAGTATTGATAAAACAGATGTTAACTCTACAGAATAGAAGAAAGAGGGCATCTGTTTCAACTTGAGGATGTCCATAGGCTTGGAAATACAAGCCATATTCATGGGTTAGATCAAGACAGATTGTCTTGCCTGTTGCGTATATACAAGAATGCCTTAAATGACTTACCTCACTGTTTAAACTTACCCATAACCAATATTAAGCAGTTTGAAGCTGTTCAGCACTTAGAATCTGGTAAAACATTTTGTTAACACCATTGTGTCATGCATATGTGGCATGCTGATCTGGGTTGTTTATAATTGCCTAACAAAACAGGATTACCGCTGTGCTATTTGGTCAAGAACAACAGCTTGTTTTCTTTGTGTGTTAAAACAAAAATGAGAAAGGTAGATGGGGTGGATAGGAAAATGATGACCTCTGAATCCAGAATAAGCAGTAAAAATGGCCACTGTAGTGCCTATGGAATAAAATAAGGTTTTTGTATACATGTGTTTGTGTGTGTATAGAAAAAAAAGTAAAAAACAAAATTCCAAACCTTTGTTTTTTTTCTTTGCATAAGTCAATATGTTGCACACTTTAAGCCCTCAAAACTTCTGACTGGGCTATTATCGAACCTCATTAAGAAAACAGTTCTACCTCAATCAAAATACGTTGTTCTACAGTCTTGCTTTTTTAGATGAATGAGGCAGAACTTGTAGTGTGTAATAGTCTTCTCATTCAGTTAAATAAAGATAAGAATATAAGTAGATAAAAGACGTATCTCCATCTTCAAAAACAGAACAGCCCCAGTTTGCCCCCCCGTGATTTTCTTTCCTAATATACGTTGGTCCTACATAGTTTGGTACTTATGTATTGACATGGCTGATGAAAGGCTTTCCTCTTTAAAGTTAACAAACAACAAATTACTTTTCCTTAGGTACAGCCTAAACACTTGGGCTGTGTTGGACTCAGCTGCTTCTACTTGGCTGTGAAGGCATCAGAAGAAGAGAGAAATGTTCCTCTAGCCACTGATTTAATTCGAATAAGCCAGTACAGATTCACTGTTTCTGATATGATGAGAATGGAGAAAATCGTATTGGAGAAGCTGTGTTGGAAAGTCAAAGCTACAACAGCCTTCCAGTTTCTACAACTGTATCACTCGCTCATTCATGAGAATTTAAGCTGTGAAAGGTAATATATATAATACTTTTTTAGCTATGACTGCATATGATCAGGAAGCCTGTGTAGAAAAGTAATCAGGGAAATAACTTGAGTAAATGGCCTTTCTGTAGTTAAAAACCTCACAAACTTTACCCCTTATTGGTAGATATCATAAATGTATCTGTGACTTAATGTTATTTCGGTTTTTAAAGCTGTTTGCATAAGTTGATCCAAAGAGTATTCCTCTCTGAGCCAAAAACCAAACTTGCTCAATGACGATGGTATAATAAATCTCTGCTTATGCTGCACTAAGTATTGCCTCATTGCAACGATTTCAAAATCTGGCTTAGAAAAAGATTCCTTTTGCTAGTAAGCACTAAAATTCCTGTTGGTAAGCCTATTTTAACAGTATGACTCTCCCCAGTGTACCACAAGATTTATTTTTAGCATTAGGGCTGCCAAAACTGAACACCTGTTTGACTGTAACCCTAGAACTTCTGGGACAAATGAGTCCTTTGTTTAGATAACATTCTTCCTGCTGCTCTGAGTTCCCAAGGGTGGTGCTGCCTTGAGCAAGCTTGGGTTCTCTTTTTACCTTCACTCGTATGTTTTTATTACAGGAGAAAATACCTTAATTTTGAGAGACTTGAGACCCAGCTTAAGGCATGTCACTGCAGAATCATGTTTTCTAAAGCCAAGGTAAATGTCTTGAAAGCTCAAAGACAATGAGGCTACTGAAACTTAACAAAGCAGTGTTTAAAAACTTTTTCTGTCTCTCCAGCCTTCTGTCTTGGCACTGTCTATTATGGCTCTAGAGATAGAAGAACAAAAACTGCTGGAGTTGACAGAGGCATTGGAATTTCTGCAGTTGCATTCCAAGGTATATATAAAGATTCAGGGGAGGAAGGAAGAAAAATGCATGCAAGTGCCTACACAGAGGAAAAAGGGGAGATCCACTGGCATACTGGTTTCTTTTGTTGCTTTGTTGGGATTTTGTTTGGGTTTGGTTTGGTTTCATGGCTTTTTTTCCATTTGGCTTGGGATCTCTGGTTCCTATCTTCTATAAAGAAGCTGAATGTACATGTATGACTAAGGATTTAATGAGTTACGTAAGATTTTGTTTTGCTGTCTAGATAAACAACAGAGATTTGATCTTCTGGAAGGAGCTGGTGCTAAAGTGCCTTACAGAATATTCTTCGAGCAAGTGTTCCAAGCCAAATGTCCAGAAATTAAAATGGATTGTGTCTGGACGTACAGCACGGCAGCTTAAACATAGCTACTACAGAATAACACATCTTCCTACAATTCCAGAGACCAGCTCATAATAGGTAACTTCTTTTAAAACCAGCTTCTGATTGTGTAGAATTAGCTGTTAACTATCTCAAAGTTTCTTATTCTGTATAAGTAACCTCTTGAAGACATGTAACATAAACATAGTAGGCCTGTTATAGAGGCTGGTCTGTTCTCATGTTCATGCTTGAGCCAGTGCTGTACCTGAAGAAGTGGCAACCTAATATATAAACACTGGAAAAAGAACTGATCCTCTGGGGTGCTGTGGGAGGAGAAATGTGTTATACAGACATTGGGACCTTATGCAAACGCAAATGTGGAATAAAACTGGTAAAAAGAGAAAAAGCTTGGCTTGCTTCTATCCTAAAAAGAATCAGTTAAGAGGAAACAGTTGACTATTAAAATGACTTTCTTTTAATCTTTCACTTAAACCACTTAAAAGGAAGACAGTTCTATAGTTTTACTTCTGTAACTGTCTGATTAGTTATGTCTAAAAACTCTAATTCAGTTATTCATATTACTGGGGTTTTTTAATCTGTAGTAATTGTGAACTACTTCCTTATCTAGACTCTTAATTCCAAAGGTTACAGATTTTCTATAACAGCTGTCATGTTGTTGTCTTGCAATACTGAAGTCTGATGCTTTGTTTAGATCTTGTAGAAAGCCTTCAGTTGACGGTTTGGATTTTTTTACAGGAATACAGTAAAATGAGGAGAGAACTATGCTGTGACCTTGTCAACAGACACGTGAATATTTAAGAAATGAAGTCTGAAACTTGACCTTAATAAAGGAGAACTCAACTCATGGAAAGACTACGTAGCATCTCAGACTAAGGATCGTTCCAGCAAATATGTTCTTTTCATGATGATTACAACAATATTCAATGTCAGTTTTCAGTCTTATTTGTTAGACTGTTTAGTGAAATACCACAATACTGATACATAGAATTTTAACACCTTACAGTTTGCAGAGCAGCTAGTGTAGTCTAACTTTGGTTTACTGTAACTGCAGGTACTGAATTATGTATTTAATTTTAAAAATCTGGTTCCAAAGATTACATGACACTAGCATAGTGCTGCAGTGTCTTAAACTAAAGACTAATCCTGCTCAATACTGATGATGGTGGCAAATGCCTGTTGGTCCACCTAACTAGTTGTTTAGGCAGTGTCACATGGTCCATATGTTCCTACTGTGCAGGACACTGGCCTTCTACGATTGACACATTAAAAACTAGGCCATGTGATACCTGCCAAATATGTCAAGTAGCTATAGCAGGAAAAAGAGTTCATCGCCTTATAAAAGGGTAGTCACTAACCCCAGTATCATTAACTTCAGTATTTTGTAAGAAGGGTAGCTTACTGAGATTAGGAACTATATCATAGAGTGTAAAAGCTTTGTGATACTTGATAAAGGCTGAGGGAGAGTACTGGGTCGCCTGCCCTAAATCTGACATCAGTTTTCCAGAGTTTCACTGTACAAGAGGTAAATGCTGATGCTTAACAGGTACATTTTTACAGGCAGGGCTAATGCCCTATCTTGACCTGTACATAGGAGGAATTGAGAAACAATGAAGATGAAACTCTGATCTCTGTAATAATGAGCTGCTTAAAATACAACTGTGTTTTTCTGAAGACCAGATCAGTACTTGAAGTGTATCATGGTTTTAATGCTAACAAGGAAGTGAATAATAATGTATTACTGTATGTAAGATGAACAGAGAGGTTGAGGGAATGTTGCTAATGACCTCTCAAATGCTACATCACAGTGGAGCAGAGGCTGTTAGCGATGGGCCGTTAGGAATGGATTGTCATATGAACTGACTTAGTGGAGAAGAAGAGATCAGAATGTTCTGAATTTGGAGTGGTTTTACGTGTTAGCCAGGCAACCCTTCCCTTTTTATGCTGAGGGGGAAAACATTCTTTTGATATCTCAAACTAGTTAAGCCTTTCACAGAAGACTTCATACCAAAGCTCTGTATTGGACAAATCAAACCTTCTCATGAACTCATGGGTGATTGCACCACATAACATGTAATTGGGTTTTGCAACTGCCCGTACTATTGTGCTGGCCTGTGAAAAGCATACAACTGATTTGGACAAAGGTGTGGTCAGTCTACGGGGAGAGATGGTGAAGATGCGGTGTGCAATTCTAATTGTCATGTCTCAGTATTAAAATACGGACCTTTCAATTAAACATTGAAACGTGCTTACCTGTGTGAATTCTTTTCCCATTTGTTATAAAACGTCCTAGAAGAAAGCCTATAAAGTGACTTATCACTGAACAGTATCTGGAAAACTTCCAGGCAGGACATAAGAGATTACGGAGGTATTTTCAGATTTTTACTTAAGAGTTTGAAGCTGTGTGGGAAAGGCAGGAGAACCAACAGGAGAAACTAGAGATGCTTGACAAAACTTATTGCAACTTGGCCCACAATTACTCTAAATTACTTTTATTTTCATCTGCATTCTTCTAAAACTGGAGGCCTGTAACTTGCAGGATATGATCAAAGTAGCTAACCCAGTAGTTCAAACCTCTTCTTTTAAAACAGTTCAGAACCGTGATGCCAACAGTATGTTCTAAACAGTTGTCCTCTTTCCTTGACTTAGCTGTAGGATGACTTTCATGCTACTTCATAAAGCAGAGACTAGGAATGTTTAGCTTTGAAGTGCATATATAGCAAATGTAAGTTCATGCACTGAAGTATCAGATGACATGCTGAACTTCTATTAAGTAAGACATACAAAACCACCCTGTGCAAACCAACTGCTGTAACAAAAAATACTATTTCACAGGATAGTACTTCAGCATTTTTGTGCAACATTAACTCTATTTTCTGTCTTCAGTTAATTTTGCACCAGTCTTGTTCATTTCTTAACTATACCATCCACCTCCTATATTAGGATCACGGTAAAGACACATGGCCAGAAATCAGCACTACTTTGCATAGTACAGCAAGTTCTCAACAACCCAAGCACAGTGTATGGACCTACTTCACATTCTGTAAAGATGACATGAGTAGAAAGAGCACACTTTATTTCAGGACTATTAATGCTTGCTTGTTCTTACAAGCAAGCAGTGGATGCAATTAAAATGATATCATTCTTCCCCAACTATTGCTTTATTTTTGGCATCTGCCAACTGGTTTGGTGCAATTTTAGAAATAAGGCTCAGCAGCATGATGCACAGCTGCTTGCAATTTATCTCCAGTGAGACTTCTGTTTTAAGACTTAAATATAGGCAATAGTTTCAGTGTTCAGACTACAACAGGATTTGGCAATCATGTTTTCCTCCTCTGTTAGCCTGTTTTACCCAGCCTTCATCCTGTGGTCGGAGTGCTTCTCAGCTCCATATTGCTGTGGTTGGAGAGCTTCTCAGCTGCATCCTTAACAATACATAGAAAATTCCTGATACGTAATTGGCACATGTAAAATACTATATGATGCAACAGCCAAGTTTAAAATGTGGTATAAAGTTTAAAAACTCTATCTATAAAAATTTACAGCTTCTTAGATAGCAGCATAGTGCTGTAAGTGGGGAATGAGTAGATGCAAGATACCGTTCCCTACTTAGGGACCTCCTATTCCTTTCAAAAGTAATCCCATTCTCTTTCAAATTCTTAAATATTTATACTGAAAGGCTGTATTATATAAACACATAAAATTATTTATATATCAGAGTTTCACCTGACCTTTCAGTTTTCTAGTATCCTTTACCTGGTAACAAGTACCAATCATTAGCGCTGTACTTGACAGCACAGTGGATTCTAAAATCTTATCCACGGCAAGATGCTGTAGTAATTTTACTTAAATCGCTTTTTTAGAGTAACATTTATGAGTTTTCAGAGGGCTGCTACAGAGGGAAAGTGTTAAGTGTAGCCATCCTAATATCCTTCCCATTGCAAGTTAAGAGAAAATATTAAATATCTTGCTTATAACCTTTATTCTACAATAATGAATAAGGTATTTTTGCATAAGGACAAGTGGCATATTTATAAGTGACCAGTTTAGTATGCTGTTTCTAAAAAGAAAAATAAAACCCAAACCCACCTGCTTCAAGATGTTACTTTTTGTGTATGCCTTTCTCTATAGTTTGTCCCTCGGTATTAGAAAGTTATCACAGTTTATAAATCAGCTGGTAATACTTTGTCTTCATTCTATTGGAAGAGATCTTTCTCTTCACTTGAAATAATTACTTGACATCAATCCATTGAAGAGATCACTGAAGCCTTCACCAGCTACACGATTCCAGTCCTTATGTGCAATGTGAAATTTCTCTCAGGGAACACAGATAAAAGCAGTTTACTTTTCAAGACTAGAAAAGTCTGGTCCTCCTTTGCTGTAATTTCCAGAAATTTCTGCCCCGCTGAAGTCAAATCCAGGGTTCTGATGGAGGTAAGAGAAAAGTTTAATTGATGCATTATTCATAATAAAAATATTTAAAAACCGCCGAACTGTTTCTGTTAATACTCTGCTATTGTACCAAGGACATACAATGATCAACTTGTCATCTGTTTGACACGGCACTGAAATACTTGGAAAATGCATCAACAAATAAACCTTGAACTGCCACAGTTTGGCTGCATTCTGCTGAAGCGACTTTGTGATGCTGTTCTCAATTTGACAAGCAGTTAGGTCTCCAGTAAAGAAATATTAAGAAAAGTTTAAGAAAATATTCTGGCTTCTAGTGTCCCTTGAAATTACAATTTGAAAACAGAAGTACCTGTCATGCTGGATAACAAGTCTCATAAATACCGTGTTCCTTGTTGTGGTGTGTAGTGTGCTGATTCAGCTGTTAAGTAGTAAATTGTAATCCTACAACTCTGCAGACACTCACAGAAATAGCTGTGTGCTAAGGGTGTATCAAAACAATTTAAACAATTTTAGCAAAAGGGCAAGGAAAACTTCTATATTATCCAGTGTTATAAGCCAACATATTCAAAATAGCTTAATGCTAGAAGTCAGTTGTAAACACGGCTATGTCATAATTCCATATAATAACAAATCGTGTGTAGCCTAATTTAAGTGAAAAGTCGTCAGTATTGTGCAACAGCCCTAAAACAGCAGCACCATCCCCTAACTTTTCATAAAACCTTCAGACAGACTACAGACAGAATAACCTCTTGAAAGTACACTGAAGAAGCCTCATGAGCATTCTCTATATATTGAGCTACAATATATGCTTCCACAGCACTGGACAACAGAACAATTTTGACCAGCTTTCACAGCCATGACCCTGATGGGCAAACGCAAAATATAAGGAGTAATTCTAGTCCTTTAACTTGCCTCTTTTTGGAATCGCTCCAGTGTAAGTTTCCTTTGCATCTGGTCCTGTACCCAAGGATCAGCAGCATATTCATTTTCTAAGAGAGACGTCCAACAATTTCCAGCATCTCGATTTGTCTTCATTAGAACAATTTGTATCAGCTTCCTATCTTCTGTTAAACAAAAACACACATAAACCAACCATTAAACTCAGTATTACACACTAGGTTTTGTTGTTGTTTTGGCGAATTTACCATTAAAAAGTACAAGATTTACTTTTTTTTGTGAAGTAATTTAAATTCTTAAAACCAAGAGGGCTCTTGATAGATAAATATACATTAACAAGAACTGGAAAGGCTGAAGCAAAGATGGCCTATACAGCCCTTTCTCCCCTTTCTGGCCTGTAATATTCTGAAGCTGTGTTAAGGGATTAAAACACAGTTTGTCAGTACTTCTACTGCAAACATAAACTAACCTTTGAGAGAGGTTCACAACATATAAAAGATTTAATCAAGTAATATGTATACCTCAGCTAAGGCAATAAAGAAACACTTGAGGTCAGGCTTTACAGAGAAAATACCAATAAAAGCCAGAATAATTTTAGCACCATATGGAATTCTCATCAATTTATTTAAACACAGACAGTACGCCTATAGACAACATATTGGAAGTACATTTCAAAGGTGACACGTAGGATGTCTGGTTCTACTTCTTTGAATAAATACAGCATTAGCAAGTGTATTTTGAAGATTATTCACATACTGGAAAAGGCTTCATGATGCTTGTTTACACTTACAGTTTTCATGTTTAAGTTGCTAAATTAGTAATCTATATTTAGAATAAATATTGAATGGAAAACAAAATCCATTGTAAGAGGATTGAGAGGCACACTCCACAAATGTGATTACCAAAACTCAAAATAATTTGATCACTTTACAATAATTATGATGTAACAATTAGAGCAGCTTTTTTTTTTCTCATTAGCTGCAGGTACTTTAGATTTTTAGATTGGTTTTCGATTCTCTTGGACTGTAGGTTTTGTCACCCATCCCAAACCTTGAATGCATATAATATCACCTATTCAAAAACCATAATGCATAAGAGAAGACCCAAGAAAAGCAACAATTACAGAGAGGCATAACTATGTAACTAACAGACTGCATGACTATACTGTAATTGTCAGCTTCAACAAGTGTTTGCAGAAAAACGCCCACTGTATGGAAGTGTTTGTAACTCATTGACTACTGGCTTCCAGACACAGCATCTCTAAGGCTTCTGTACTAGCTCAGTTCCTTGGTCTGGACATAATGGTTGTGTTTTTTACAAGGCTATGTACAGGTAAAACTTCTGCAGCATATTTTGCACTCATAATGTCCCTTCAGATGGAGGTTATTACCTAATGTCCATGTTCCTTCATCAGTTACTGTTGAGTCAAAAAGTTTACCCTGCAAAAGACACATACAGTATTACAAATCTGGAAAACCTGCTCAGCATCTAGGCCCCACTGAATTGACAAGTTTTACTCCCAACTTCCCTTCTTGTTTTCTACTGAACATGGGTAGTGCAGTCTGTCCCTGTAAGCACAGACTTGCACGCAGACCATCAAAGAACTATTTTTTGTTACACAATTATTTTTTGTGTACACACAAACAAAACAAAACAAAAAGCTTTCATTACACAATTTTTTCCTTTTTAATGAAGCATTTACCACACAGTCCCTGTTTCAGTACCTCAGCGCAGTGGAAGGGCTCTTCTCAGAGGGTAATGACCATTGTAATGGGTTGCTATGAAAACGTCAAGGGTAAGGATAGCTGCGGTGCCATGAGGTACGTGCCCCATGCCGGGAAGAGCTGCTTGCTCCCGGTTGGAAAGCGAAGCTGCTGCTGACCTGGGTTACTGGCGCTCGGCAGCACAACCCAAGGCAGGCAAACCCAAGGAATTTGT